TTATCTTATCTTATCTTATCTTATCTTTTAACTGGGTGGGATTCTGATGTAACTTCCAGAGTCGGAATCGCATAGCTGTATGCCAACATGCCTGCTTTATTAAATTGGAACTTTAAGCATAGTTTTGGCTTCGACTCTGATTTAATTTTACATGGTATTTGGAAAGCTTACATGTACATAATTGACTGTTTCCTCTAAAATCTTCTTTTTTAAAGGAGGAACCGAAGGCAACCAAGGTCAAGATCGATGGGACCCAACATGCTCTTGTCAGTGCAGATCCCAACCAGAGTATAACTGAACTTTTCTATCTACTGTCATGCCCTGAATTTTTATATTTCACCCTTTTCTATTATTTTAATTGATCCATTACATTTTATAACAATGTTGAAATCAGGAGGAATATACATACCTATTAAGTTAAGCCTGGAATGAAAGTCAAAAGTATTGACCCCTTGGTCAATATGGAAAGCTGTCATTGTTAGGCAAGGACTTAATTTTTCCCTCCAGGCCAGTGCCAAAGTCTTTGAGCTACTGGTGGTAACAGACAAGAATGCATCTAAAGATGAGCTGTACAAAACTGAAATAGGACAGAGGGGACATTAAAATTAAGTTCTGCCAAAGCAACAGTTCTTACCTTGAGCTGAGTCAGTTGTGGTCACTCAACTATTGCTGGTTTACTTAATATTGGATGCTTGAAACATTAGGGCATTTTTAACTTTTAGATGAGTTCCTTCATAAATCCATCCATCCCATTCATTTCCATATTCATATGTAGATTTCTGTAAGAAGCCTTGTACACTTAGCAATACCTTGTATGCAGATATATATTTAAGTTGAGATGTAGGGGGGAGGGTATGGCTAGATCTATGAATGTGTTTATGCAGATGTGGATGTATTTCAATTTCCATGACAGCTCACTTATAAGTAATTCTTTCAAAATATGTAAATGCAATATTACATTTTTAAAAGCATTTTGAACATATTTCTAAAAGCATTTTATTTTAAAATGTGCACTTGAGGCACAGCACTCAGAAAAAACATTATTTTCCCAAGTATACAGCACTATAGTCAAAGAGCTAAAATCAAGGAAACTGTTTAGAACATTAGTTACTGATGTAGGAGGCCTGGATCCTTGTAAACAACATGAAATTTAAAAGGTAGGTGGATGTTATCCTAAAAAATTACTCCCTCCTTGAAAGGCAGTAATTTTGTACCATTTTTGATGACCCAATTGCTTATGTCAGTTCTGGATTCTTATTCCATATACAATATGGTTATTATTGCTTTTTATCAGACTTTGAAAATATATTTAGGCATAATAAAGTTCAAGACTAGTGAAGAACTTGATGTCACCTTCTTGAATAAATACTTCAGTTGTTATTCCTTTTTCACTGAATGGGTAGCTTTGTTTCTTGAATAAGAATTCCCAATTATCTCTTTCTTGGTTAATATACAGTAAAAACTCTAAATGAACAGCATATTTAACTTGATTACTGAATTAACCTATCTTCCCAATTTGTGAAATAGAATAGAATTCTTTAATGGCCAAGTGTGATTAGACACACAAGGAATTTGTCTTTAGTGCATGTGTTCTCAATGTACATAAAAGAAAAGATACATTCATCAAGAATCATAGGGTACCACACTTCATGATAGTCATAGGGTATGAATAAATCAAATCATATTAGGAAACCATCAGTATAAATCATAAGGATACAAGCAACAGTTACAGTCATAGGTAGGAGGAGATGGGTGATAGGAACGATGAGAATATTAATAGTAGTGCAGACTTCGTAAATAGTTTGACAGTGTTGAGGGAAATATTTGTTTAGCATTTAAAATAATGCTCTAATGAAATGAGAGGTTGTCAACTCTCGAAATGATTCTAGCTGAAGCCACATTTTCCCTGCTTAGTTTCTTAGTTGCTATACTTATGGGGAGGCAGGGGAATGTAGAACGTTTTCCTCCAAAGTGCAAGACATAGCAATGATAAGGCTCCTGAGAACGGAGGTCAGATCAACGTGCCCTAGCAAGCGGCAGGAAGGAGTGCTGAGAAGTTCATCACCGTTGGCTAACGTAACCCGGGTACAAGGTAAAGACATAGCTCCATTCTTTTTACCCCCTATGTTTATTCTCGAATGAAAGGAAGTCTTGGTAGGTCCAAATTGTTTTTTTCTTTCAGAGCTGCAAGCTCTTCCAGAAATCTTGGCATAACCTTTTTGAGAATGGTAAGGTAAAAATATTCTTGTTGAACTTAATTCCTGGACCATTGCATTCATGCTGTTTTCTAGCAATTATGATTGCTATCACTTATTTTGGGGATTTTATTCCTTATGTTTAATTTTTTAAACAGGTCAACAGCCCTGCTTAACCTGCAAGATCAGCAAAGATCAGCTAGATGCTGCCACCTGGTGTGACTTAGTGAAGATCAACAACTGGCTTCACACCAGCTATTTCTTGATCATGAAGGCTATGAAGCAGAGATGCACCATCCTGCTTTCTGATTAATAAGGTTTATTGTATATTCTAAATATTAGAAAAATTGTTATTACGGCAGAAAAGCAACAATTGCCAATTACAAGCACACATGTATAAACACACATACAGGTGGAGTTAGCCAGCTTCCTCTTTCTCTCATCTCTTCTCAGGAACAAAACTTCCATTTCCTTTTCAAACCAGTATGTCCTAACCGAAGGATTTTCACAGACTTGAACATTGGGCACTATCTAACAAAATGAAATTCAATGATGAAAAAAGTAAGGTTCTACATTTAGGCAAGAAAAACAAAATGCACAGGTACAGTATAGGTGGTCAATAGTAGTAACTGTGAGAGGGATCTTGGAGTCCTAGTGGACAACCATTTAAATATGAGCCAGCTGTGTGCAGCAGCTGCCAAAAAAGCCAATACAATTCTAGGCTGCATAAACATTTGGATAGAATCAAGAGCATTGAAGTGTTAATACTACTTTATAAGGCCTTGGTAAGGCCACACTTGAAATACTTTATCTAATTTTGGTCTCCATGATGTAAAAA